TGGGCGGTCAACTCGAAATGCATTTAGAGCACTTCGTGAATATTTTGGTCACCATAATCGCCCAAACGAAATAACAATCTGGCGTCTTATTCACAAATTGGACGCCTGGCAATACTTCTCGCTAGCGTCTACCTATTCAAACAGTCATTTTTACGACAAATTTAGGTTGAAAGAAGTAGTTTGAGGCTAGGAGTCAAAGGATGCTGGCTGGCTGAGGCTTCGTTCAGGTTTGCGTCTGCGAACCCAAACTACCCAAGACCAGTAAGCCCGGCTGCAGTCTTGCGTTTTGTGTACAGGCGTAGCTAAACACAAATTATTACCACTACGTACTATTCATTACTTAAGCTTCGTTTAGTAATGTTCCAAGTCCCCAAAAATATAGCGAAGTCCAGAACACGATTGACTATACAAACATATGATTCAATTCGATAAGGCTATCTATTGCCGAGAGCGAGATTTAAATCGCGCTAGTTTAATCTCTTTACATTATACTGGATATCGATTCTTCAAGGGGCGAAAGAACCGTACAATGCTTCCCGGTTTAATGGAGAGTTTCTGTTACTTTTCATTTAAAATCTATAATGAATGAAACATTCAATAAAAATCGGTTTAGTATAGGTATTTGGTGCAAATTTGTGCACCAACTGAACTGAATGGCATATCCGTGAAATTTGTCGTTTGGCATTATTCAACACAGGTTTAATAGAAGACGAAAATATAGATAAACTGGTGAATAGGAAATCTCGACTCAACCTAACCTCCCACCCTCGGACTGCAGTTTTTAAACTTTTAGAACGGGTTTATAACTTTCTAGAATGGGTAGAACATTGTCTAAACCGGTTGGTAGATTAAAAAATTTGAGTCTAATGCTAAAGTACTCATTCAATGACTTTAAACTGAGTGAATAATAACATAACAAGAGGTTCACATAAGAATGGAAAATTGCCTTCTTCTTAGGAATCTTACCCGCCTAACTGCTCAGTCGACTGCGTCAACCGGTTAACTGAGGACTGAACCTGTTCCTTAATCCTTATGTCTGTGACTCGGAGCGAGAAGTGCTGTCGCTTGGTTGAGATGCATTGCATTTTATACTGTATAACCGTGGCCCCTGGTGTTCGATTCTTGTTTCATACTCTGGTAATTTATCTGAATCTTGTATACACCTTGACAACACTGGTATGCTTCGATGAGGTCGCCCGCAGACGTCGATAATAAAGAGTTGGAAGCATCATAGTCGCTTATCTTTCTTCATTATATTTAGGCTTGCCATCTAAGCTTAAAATTATTCTTTTTGCACGTCTTTGAACACTCTCGACTGAATTAGTGTCTTTTCAAATTTTTATTTGTGCACGCGATATCATGTCGCGCTATGGACACCAAGAGCTAAACGCCATTTAAAGATCATGGTTCAAATTTTCCTCTTGCTTCAAATTTGCGATGAATTAGTCATTTATATGTAAGATAATCAATTCATGACGTCATGGCTGGACATGACTCGTGATGTTAATAAGACGCATGGCTGCAGACTGGCAACCTGCAACTATGTAGAAACCGTGAAGACAAATAAGCTCCAAAATTTTTCAAGATGCCTCAACAGCCCATTATGGAAAAATCCAGTTCAAATGCATGGTTCACGCGAGAAAGTTGAATACCATTCTCGTTTCATGCATGCGGCCGGCATACAAAGCCCTACGTTCGTACAGCAGCTGCGATATGCTGTGGGCCTGATCGCTCATTGTTCTCGTTGCCAGAATAACTCGCAATTGTCTGTTAATTATTAAGAAAATCTGTAAGGTGCGCATAGAATTGAGAAAAATCTTTCCCTATGTTACGGTCTACGGATCCCTTACCCCACTTGTCGAGATAAGCTTCTGATGATGCAGGCACAAATTATAGCTGATATAAATCGATATGGGGAAGATCGATCTAACTATTTTGGTAACATTCAATGTATTAAATGATGAATTTCTAACAACGGTTCTATCTTAATTTCTAATTTTTACGTTATTTTCTCCGGGTTAGGAAGAGTAATTTTTTCTTCAGCATTTTCAACTGCTATCAGTTTCACCTAACCATAATCTGCTCAAGATGTAATTTGCACTCTAAAGTTTGATCATTTCGTCATGCCCCATTACGATTCGATCTTCATCAGCTTAGATCGCAATAGTAGTAGTATGAAGGTTTACTAGCGCTTCAGATATCAAGCTATTTCGCACCGGAGGTCAAAATATAACATCGCCAGCAAGGCGGAAGGTCTCAATTATTCAAAATCTCAAGTTACTCATCACCCACAAGGGGCGGAAGGTCTCAATTGTCCAGCCCGCTGAAGCTGGCTCGAAGGAAGCAGCGTTAGCATCTCAAAGAGACGAAGTGACAAGGAGGGACAGGTGAAAAGCAACAGAAACAAAGACACTCGAACAAGACGTCGCTTACACGGGACGTCGGCCGCCCGCACGAGAGATAGAGAAGGAAAATGTAAGGAAGGATCGAATCGCAATCTTTCTAGCTTTTATATAAATTTTTATAAAAGCCTGTAAACTGGAGGAACACTCCTACTAACAACTTACCACAGTTTGAAATTCCATTTGAAATGTTGACGTTTTATTTTGAACTCAAGTATAAAAATTGTAAATCGAATTCAATGTATATTATTTTATTGATCTCCAGCAATTATTTGGTTTCTGATACCACTTATGAACATTAGATTTCAAATCTATGTATGTTATAACCTGATACGGGACACCTATTAGATATTTCGTTCTAATGGGTTATAGAAAGATTTTTAAATCCGCTAAATTTGCAAGATAAAACATTCAAGAAGGATAAGATACGGATGTAATATTTATATATTGTACTTGACAATACTATATAAAACAGACTATTTAAAAAAAAAACAGTACCATTAGTCAACAAAAATATAACTTTCATTTTGCGCACTTTGTTCAACTACAATGCTAGCAACCAAATAAGTCAAGAGAAAGATGCCTTCAACAGGCTGACTGCAAGCCTGTTGCCTTTAGTAAGCTGCCTTAATAAATTTTGCCAAAACCACTAAAGCATGAATTTGTGTTTATTCGTTGAAATTATACGTCTCAAGTAGCAACATCAAGAACAAAAACCTGTGTTCGATTAAAAAAATTTATCAAATCAATCTTAAATAGGAAGTTTTGTAACTCCGACTATCAATTTTAAGAAATTCAATCGACTATCTTTGGTTTTTTGAAAGAAAATAGAAATTTGTCTACAACGAAACGCACGACATTTTTACCGTCAAAACTCGGTGATGAAATGCACAAATTAGCCAATATGGAGTTAGTCACAAAGGGACAAAAATCATTTCTAAAAGGAATGTTCAAGAAAGGAGAGACCATTCAGATAAGATAATGTGTACATAAAGGCGAATTCTTCACTTAAAGCAATTTTGCCCTGTCTTACATGGTTATTTAAAATACAATGTAGAGTCAGTTGATTCGAAATTGCCAAAAGGCCTTTAGACAAACATTATTTCTGCCACCTCAATTATAGTGCTTCGACGAAAGACGCTTTGTTTTTCCCACAAACATAAGTTTAGGAAGCACGCGCCGCCCCGATTGAAAAGTTCTAATTTGTGCCACGGCAGAGACGTAGAATTCTTTCTTCAAGACGACCTACGGCGCAAGCAGGCGCAACTGTTTACACAAAATTAAATAAAATTTTAAATTTTTTTTGTTTAAATTAATTAAACAAAAATTAAACTTGGGTGTAACTTCGAAAAATGGAGATCGACGATCAAAGGGATGGGTTTTGATTTTTGGCATATCATCAAGTACCGTATTCTAGAAATTCTGCAAAGAAAACGTAAGGTAACGAATCGGAATTTGAACGAATTTTCAACGATGAAAATAGGAGAATGAATTATATAGACACGTTGCACTATAACACTTCAATGGATAATTTGAGAACGATAGAGATTGTAATATCTGGATGTTTGCATGCAATTAACATCCAAACATCCACACAACTTCATATCACATTTCGTCAATACCGGTAGCTTTGAACAAAGCCCTTATCCGCCGAAGCTTCTAAGCAATGCAGATGATCGAGCGCTTGACTAATTGAAAGACGCACGCAAAGAGAAATAGTAATAAATCATACAAAAAAATAATACACATTCACATTAAATAATATCAGATCTGTCGTGCGAAGGTAAGACTTTCGGGTGTTGTTCATTAAATTATATTGATGTTCGTTCAGAGTAAAAATGAATAACCAATGCAAGAAAGAGCAACTTCTCTGGCGAGCAATCACGTATTTTATTTTCTGAAACTTTTGCGAAATAGAAAGTTAATCAAGAAAAGTACAGAAGCAAAGGTTCAGTTAAATTGTGAATTTCGCAGCCGAAGTCTCCTTCATATCAAAATAATTAGAACAGACACGATAAAAAATATTACAATCATGCAAAAAAGTTTACAATTATTACATTCAACATCGTGTTGTTCATGATATTCAGTATAGTTACATAATACTCTGAAAATACAAATATAGGTGCTCAAAAGCAGGGCGAAGTGCGCTACATCAAAAAATTATGTCCAAATGTGAGTGAAAACAATTTTGTATAAAAGTACAAAATGTGATGAAGAAGAGCCACTGCTGTCGTATTCCCATTTGAACAAGCATCGGTCACTAAGATAGTAACGTTCCTATTCCAAATACAAACGTCTGAAAGTTTTACGACAATAAACTAAAGCTGTAAACAAGGCCCATGGGGCACAAACTTGCATCAGCGAGACTAGCTATGATAATATGAAACAATATTTGTAGAAAATACTAGAGCTTTTCGAATCAATAATTCAGGAATAAATGCAATGAACAAAAACATCACACTAAATACTGTAGATATCTTAATATTGGGGCGCGCGAGTAACGGTATTCAACCGTTACTGACGATGGAGCTGGACTCCGAAACGTTTTCTCTTATAAGAAATGGTGAAATTTTTGGCTATTTTCTTTGCTTTTAAATTCCTGGTAAATTTGCAACTTAAGCAGCCAAGTGATTTTAATGCTTATATTCAAAGAAGCTCTCATGGACGTACTTGGTAAGTGAATAATATTCACTTGAGGCAGCTCTTGTACCGTACAATTCAGAACTACACAGGCGTCATTAAATGATATATTTAATAAATAATGCCTTGATGGTGTACTAGGCTTGAACGCAGGATATTATTATAAGTGTAACAATATTAGCACCGACAATTTTGTTTCAAACGCAACAAAGGTGCCGTCAAAATATTTCAATGAATGTACAGATTCCGAACAGTCTCTACTGATAATATAATGTGTATCAACAATATATAATATACAATATGCGTGGTGCTCAATTCACCTCTAAATACCGGTAATATAACACACAAAAAAGTCAAGTAAGCGATATAATTTCGGAATAGTTTATAAAGCAACTTAAATTGATTGCCACATTAATATTTTTCTTTAGTTAACAATGATTTGGATCTACTTGCACTTGCAAAAGTTGCATAATCTTCGGTTAGAAACTTTCTAAATATTTGTTCCCATGGGTACATTTGTTCCCAATATAACAATACCGTATTGCCCAATTTTTGATCAATGGAGACCAAGCCTTGCAGTCAGTTCGTTATGGCAGTTGTCACAAACACGGACCGGTTTTTTGTTCACGTCCAGAGGAGCTTGGCGTGTCGAGCATTCATTGCAGAAAATCTGGCCACAGTTGCGGCAGTGGTGGCGCCGTACGGTCATGCCGAAGCTCTTCTCGCAACTGAAGCAGTTCTTTGCCTCGGCATCTTCAGTCCATTTTCGTCCCGAAAGCTTGTTTGTTTCCAACTGTAAAATTGATATTAATCGTGAACGAGAAATAAAAAATCTTACACAACGACCATGTCTGCAACCATGAGCCCAAGTAACTCATTACAAGAACAGATACCTCATATAATTTTTCCAGAATTGGTTCCACTGCGGGCACAATTTTAAAATAATACTTGTACATGTGGACTAATAATGCGATGCTAATACATGCATATTTCTATGAATAGATTCGGAGGAATTATTGCCTCTGTACCACCTGACATGTCTGGGTAAATTCACACATTTACTGAGCTACAAAATCTGAATCATGGCACTACAGCGAATTTGATCAAAGTCATTAAACTTCTGCTTCCCAAAGCGTAAAACAACTGTTCATCCCATCAGGCAACTGTCACTGAAACAACGTCAAAGTTTATTCCTTTGAAATAATTCGTTGTTACATCGTCAGATTACTGGTGGGATTTCAATCCAAACCATTAGGTTGAGGTCATCAGAAGTTTGCTTTCCAACTCGCTCATTAAATTAATTATGAAAACATAAGAAGCGGACGAAGACCACATGCCCAAATGAATTGTGATTAAGTTATTCAGTGTGAACTTCAGACTAGTTCAACCAAAATAAATACTTAGGGGAATATATATAGACATGGAGACATGGAGCTTTAGTCTGCTATTGCCTACTAGACGGATACGCACAGACCTGCAGACTCTGGTTTTGTCTGCTATTGCACACTAGACGGATACGCACAGACCTGCAGACTCTGGTTTTGTCTGCTATTGCCTACTAGACGGATATATACAGACCTGTAGACTCAGGCTTTGTCTGCTATTGCATACTAAACGGATATATAAAGACCTGCAGACTCTTGTTTTGTCTGCTATTGCCTACTAGACGGATATATACAGACCTGCAGACTCTGGTTTTGTCTGCCTAGTTCGTGGAGTGCCGCGGTGGAGTCGTCGAGCTTGCGTCGCAGTTGCGTGATGTTGCCGCTGAGCGTCTCAACCTCTGCCTCAGCGGCGAGGCAGCGGTCCAGCAGAGCTTGCTGCTCCTTCTCCATGCACTCCAGCCGAACCTGTAATCCACCGTAAGACCATAAACATCCATACATATAACCCGTATATGGAGTTAGTTTTGGGACAACAACCCAAGTCCATGCACCACCTCTGACGACGACAAAGAAATGGAATTTTTACATCGGAACCTACAAATATACCAGTATGTATTGAGTTATAGGTCTTTTTGTCCTTTTTTGTTCGCGGACCTGGCCGTTTTTAGGCCATTTGGTAACCGTGAATTATGTACCACTACGTCCTGGAGAAATACATTTCGTGGTACGCATATGTACCACTTCAGAGTCAATGTGTCAAGAAATGACGGTTATTTTTGAAACCTTTCTTAATTTGAGCGCAGTTACCCGTGACTTTCATTTAACATTACTTGATTATTTTATTCCAGTGCACATTTGCTCACACATTATAATGTAAATTGTGCTTCACTGCACGAGCTTAGCTTCAAAATTATTTCATAATCTAACAAATTGGAGAACATGCACATTAGCTTGGAATTTCCCTGCTCGATGACAAGGGACGATTATACCGCCCAAAGAAAGGCGGGAATCGTGGCGAAAGCAAGCCATGCAAGATTTTTTAAATAGAATCGTAAAAGGAATCGAATTAGTAAGAAGATAAAACACCAAAAGTGAAAGAAAATTTTAAATCTCAGTTTATGTCTTCACATTTGTATGAATAATCAAAATCAAGAATTAAAACTTCACCGTTAAAAATAAAATACTCAATAAATTAGAATTGTGCATCATTTGTTGTCCAAAGCCTCTAGTGTGACTTCTGTCGTCAACTTTTCACTTAAAAAAAAGTTTCGGTGGCATTCAAAGTATTCATTTGACAGAATTTTTAGCTGTGGGTGATCACAGCTTCCAAATAAATATTTTGGAATACTGAAGTATATTTCCTTATTCATTTAGATCACCTCATTAAAGATCACCCTTGAAATGCTATAATTTGATGAAACTACAGAGCAGAAGACACAAACAAATGATATGGCATGCAGGATACTCGACGAACGCCACCATCGGATTAACTAAACACGAACTAAATCAATGAATGAATAAAAATATTTAAATATACTAGTACAATAATGAAGAAAAACCATGAAAGAAAACTAAACACAAACTAAACCAATGAATAAATAAAAAAATGCTGAAAAAGCTAGGAAAAATATAACTCCGTACTCACTGCAGTGAGTGACAGAGAGCGTATTTACTCGTTGAAGAAAACGTGAAGTCACGGACCGACGGACGGACGGACCGACGGACGGACAGACAGACAGACGGACGGACATGACGAGCGCAATAGGGCATTTTTTCCATAAATGTGAAAACACGCTAAAAAAAGTATTTAAGCTTCACAGACCTCGAGCTCGAGCTTCTCCCCCTGAGTCTCAGCCAGGAGCGCCTGCAGGGTTGCCAGCTGCAGCTCTGCTTCCTCAGCGCGCTGCTGCTCGTCCTGCGCTCTGTCTTCACTCGCCGACAACTGATATGTTAGAGTTAAATGACAATCTTTTATCAATGAATAACAATGCTTAATATGCTCAAAAAATATTATGCTCGTCCTCACCCTCACTCGCCGACAACTGAAATGTTAGAATTCAAAAACATTGTTTTATTAATAAATAACAATACTTGATTTATGTAAAAAATATTATGCTCGTCTTGCAAGCTGTCTTCACACGCTGACAACAAAAATACTCTAATTCAATAACACTATTTAATAATAAATAAAGATGTTTTATTTTAGCCAACCAATAATTGGGAGTGGACGGTAAATCGTCTTACATTCTATTTGTATAGACCTTGCGCCCGCACAAAAAATTTGCATATGTTTTATGCATGCAGAGTTGACGAGTTGATACCAGAAAAAAACTTAACATGATACAAATTTACAAAGAGCAGCTGCGGCGTAGAAAACTGAACATTGCTTAAAAAAAAAGAAAAATAAAGGCTCTAGATTAGAATTGTGTCACATAACTCACTGTTAAACATAAACACCGATCACTGAACAATCAAACATCGAAAACAAGCATGGAAAATAGCGTACCATAATCAGTATTGATGAACTCTGTTGAAATACAAAATTTACTCAACTTAAAAAAATAAGTCGTAGTTCCTAGTACTTGTAGTAAAAGAAAATGTTTCAATGCGCTATAGACATCAAGCCATCACGTTCTTCAAGACAAAATTATTATAACCATGCTGCGAAAAAATGCAATGGCAATTCACTTAACTCACAGATACGGAAACAGTGATAAGTTAGCCTTGCTAAGAAACGAAGTAGGGAACGGCTAACAGAAACCAAACAACTTGTAGAAAAGGCCGAGAAAGCAGCTTGGATACTGACACATAAAACAGCTGCAAAAGGGTATAAAGCCAACGTCAAAACTGTTGTCAGAGTGGATATACGCACAGACCAGAGAGCTGTAACATTATATAGAGACAAAGAAAAAGATGCTGCAATAAAGTTTTTAGAAACACACACAATAAAAAAATATAACTCAGTAGGTACTCACTGCAGTGAGTGACAAAGAGCGCATTTTCTCGTCGACGAAAACGTGAAGTCACGGACGGACAGACAGACGGACGGACATGGCGAGCACAAGAGTGCATTTTTTTCATAAATGAGAAAATGCGCTAAAAATGCGCTAAGAATTTCGGTGCGTGTATTATTTATTTATTACTATGTCAATTATTTGTGATGGCTGAGATCAAGACCTGGGTTATCTTACATATTTTCGGAAAGGCCAATCTTCAACAAATTTAAAACTATAATCTAAATTACGACATATTCCAGAGCATTCTTAAAATCAACGAAAACGTGAAGTCACGGACAGGCAGACGGACATGGCAAGCACAATAGTGCTTTTTTTTCCATTAATGAGAAAATGCGCTGAAAAGGTGCAACACGGTATAGTAGAGACGACGAAAGGCAATTTTACAACAAACATTATACAGAAGTCATGAGTGACTGCAAGATCTTACATCATGCTGAGCTTTCTGTAGCTGCTGCGTGAGGGAGTCATGCTTCTGCACGGCTACAGCTTCTGCAGCTTCGAGGCGTTGCTGCAGAGCTTGCATCTCGGTGCCGTGCTGCTCGGACCGCACGGCAGCACTGCTGCGCTCCTCTGATAACTGCAACAGAAATAAATTATGAACTCATTCCCAAGATGTGAAAGCTTTTTATAGTTACCCATAAGATTATTATGTCCTTTGTGCCACAAGATCGAAGAAGATCGAAGAAATTTCCGAAGCCTAAAAAATTTTGGAGAAGGCTATAAGAATAAAATCCTTCATTATAGATTAACCCTAACTTCAGACTCCTTCAGATCAGATTAAGCGGTTGGGCTTAATCAAAGGTCAATAATTTTGTCTGCTGACACATCAACCGTGATACATGAAGTTCAGGCAACCAGATTAACCGTCAGGCAAAGGTTTAGAATTTTGTCAGCGGACACATCTACCGTGATACATGAATTTCTGGTAGGTAACCAGAGCTACCATCAAGATACAAATATTTCTGTCGCGATACATGTGAGATAAATGCCACAGTTACCTCGATGCGCAGAAGCTGCACTTGATCCTGAATGTTATGCAACTCTTGCTGCACGTCGTCCCGCGACTTCTCTGCAGCGCGTAGCCGCTCACGCAGCTTGTCAGCGTCAGCGCGGTTGAACTGAAAACACATATACAGCTAAAAAATTAAACTGAAGTTGAACTTAAAATTGAACTGAAGTTGAACTGAAGACACATATACAGCTAAAATTTTGAACTGAAAATTGAACTGAAGACATATATACAGCCAAAAAATTGAACTGAAGTTGAACTGAAGACACATATACAGCCAAAATATTATAACAAGAAACTACTAATACCTTCGTTAAACCCTTACTACGATTATCACTATTATCGGTAACATTAAAAAGCTCAAATTTTGTATTTTTAAGGTTTTTGATTCACCTATGCATCTTTTTGCTCGCTAATTTATATTAAGCATTTCATAGAAGCATCGCGCCGTTGACAACAACTATATAGACAATAAAACATTATTTTAGTACATAGTGTAGAATATTTTAAGTTTTCTCTTGCGAAAAAAATGAATCGAATACCGGTACCGTAATCACTTGGGGAGCATTAAAGGAACTTTAATAAGAGTTTAAATCATAGGCTACCTTAAAATCCCTGCTCGAAAACGCTCCATTACGTTGTGAGTAACACGAAAATGAACTCTCATGGTTTATTCTCAATTTAAATGTATTCTTCCCCAAATCTGTCATTAAATATTGACGGAGGTAACCCTAACCTGAAGTATTTCCTCCAAGCCGGCTAACTCCTTGATCTTCTGGGCGCCAAGTTCCTCGAGCTCCTTGAGCTTCTTCTGTAGCTGCTCGTGCTTGCATTGCAGCGCACTGAGCTCAGAGTTACGCTGGTCCAGCTCAGCGGTGAGGTCAGTGCAGTTAGACTCAGTGAGCGCCAGCCTCTTGCTCAACGTCTCTTCGAGTTCCCGCTTTGATATTTCTAGTTCGTTGAGCTTGGAGCTCAGCTCAGAGTTTTCGTTGTTTTTAAAATTCAGTTCGTCCTGTACTTCTAGTAACTGTGTCTTAGTTTGTTTCAAAGATTCTTCAGATTTATGAAGATTAGTCTCAAGTTCTACAGTTTTCTCTTCGAAATTTCTCACTGTTTCTTCAAAATCAGCAAGTTTGGAAGACATGGTCGCTTTCTCGGCAGCTTCCTTTGCGATGTCTTCACGAACTTCCGCGATCACCTTTTCTTTAAGTTCAAGTTCCTCTCTCATCGCCGTCTGTTTTGCCATCAAAATGTTTTTGTCGGCCTCAAGAGCAGTGAGGCTCTCAGTTTTAGACAAGAGAAACCGTTCGTTCTCAGAAGATTTTGTACTCAGTTCCTCGAATTTTATTTTCAACTCTTCATGCGACGACGCAAGGGCTGACCTCTCGGCTTCGAGTGTCTTGAGCTCGTTCTCAACTCCATCAAGACGCTCAGCTTTGCCAATTAATTCTCGAATCTGGAAAATAAATTTAGGAATAAAAATAAGTAAGTATAACTCAGAAAAATACGTATTATGAACCAACACCAACAACGAAAAAGGTATTTCTTTTTGAAGATAAAATGCGGAAACAGGGAGAGAATAGGATCTGGCGAGTAAGTAAATTCTTATATCACCCTAAAAGGTTAGTTACTTTAAATCAAACACTCTCAAAAACTTTTAGTTGTTCAAAGTGAGTCACATGTTCGTTATTTGTGTTCATTTATCGGGATATTTGATCTACGTCGAGAAACTACTTAGTTAAGTAGCTGAAACTGCAAACGTAAGCCAATTATTCAAAGCTATATTCATTGCAAGTGTTAAAGCAGCAAAACCGTAGCATATCATAAGAATATATCACTGTATTTAGTCACATTGTCCCGCTCACTTGACTCGACAGGGCATCTGACTTCTCGAGCAGCTCGGCAATTCTCAGCTGCTGTTGCTCGGTGGTGCGCTCAGCAGCAGAAAGTTTCAGGCAGCACTGGCTCAAGTCTCCTTCAGCGCCTGTCATAAAAAAAATGATAAGCTTCCTTTCCTATCCCAAGCGGACATACCTATTTATGTTAAGCTACAGCAGCAGTAAAATGAAATTAATTAAAATGTGGAGTGGCCGCAGCACAAGAATCAAATTAACACAAAAAGTAAATTTGCCACAGCAGAAGAGTTGAATGAATGCAGAATTTATTGAGATGAAAATGTAGAATTAAATCAATTTTGATATAATGATAGAATTATCAGTGTGCCTGAATAAATAAGGTTCTTTTTGCATTCATGATAAATACAAAAAAGGCATTATTGTAGCAGCAGGCATGATTTTACCCTAACTTTCTCAAGTTATAATACGCGCCTTTTTCTTAGTAACTGTGGAACGAAGTCTTCAAAACAACATCGACAAATAATGATTAAATTGAAATTCTCTATTAAAAGATCACGAGACTGTAGTTCAGGACATGACGAGATTAGGTCAAGGCATGATTAAGACCTTTAGGATGATGAAGATGTCCCGTAAGGTCAATAACAAGACATGAATGGCACAACACACCCGTAAGTTTGGCGGCGATGGCACAACACACCCGTAAGTTTGGCGACGATGGCACAACACACCCGTAAGTTTAGCAGCGATGGCACAACACACCCGTAAGTTTTACTCCGATGGCACAACACACCCATAAGTTTAGCAGCGATGGCACAACACACCCGTAAGTATAGCAGCGATGGCACAACACACCCGTAAGTTTGACTCTGATGGCACAACACACCCGTAAGTTTGACTCTGATGGCACAACACACCCGTAAGTTTAGCAGCGATGGTACAACACACCCGTAAGTTTGGCAGCGATTGCACAACACACCCGTAAGTTTGGCGCCGATGGCACAACACACCCGTAAGTTTGACTCAGATGGCACAACACACCCGTAAGTTTGACTCAGATGGCACAACACACCCGTAAGTTTGACTCAGATGGCACAACACACCCGTAAGTTTAGCAGCGATGGCACAACACACCCATAAGTTTGACGGCAGTGGCACAACACACCCGTAAGTTTAGCAGCGATGGCACAACACACCCATCACACCCAGCGATGGCACAACACACCCGTAAGTTTAGCAGCGAGTTCCCTGGCTCTGAGTTCCTCAGCTAGCAGCTGCTGCTGCAGCTCCTGCACCTGCTGCGTCTTGCGCGCCACGACCTCGTGCTCCTCTCGGTGCTGGTCGCCCAGCTGGTCCTTTAGCTGCGTCAGCTCCATCTCCTGAGCGACAAAGTAACTTTAAGTAACTTAGAAAATAATATTATTAAGTAAGTATTACTTATACAGAACGCATCAATGAAAAAATATAACTCAGTACTCACTGCAGTAAGTGACAGAGAGCGCATTTTCTCGTCGACGAACACGTGAAGTCACGGACAGTCAGACATACGGACGGAGAGGCGGACATGGCGAGCACAACAGTGTATATTTTCCATAAATGGAAAAATGCGCTAAAAATGAAAATTATCGAAGAACATGTTCGAAGTGCTGTTTCAGATTTCCTCAATAAATATTTAGAAACTAACTAGAGATTTGACTTGTATGTGCAGAAATTCGCCTTTCTTGGAAACGGCGCTTCTCAATACCTGACATGTCCACTTTATTTGCTTCCCATTAGAACATACAGTACTAGACTGCTACTCCCTATTACAATATACTGGACCGCTGCTTCCCATTACAACATACAGTACTAGACTGCTACTTCCTATTACAATATACTGGACCGCTGCTTCCCATTACAACATATAGTACTAGACTGCTACTTCCTATTACAATATACTGGACCGCTGCTTCCCATTACAATATACTAGACTAGCATGCGCTACGTTATCATTATAGGTTCAGGAAGACATCACTTCACTTCAAGTCTCTGCGTAGAGTAGCGGTCAGAGAGAGAATATAACATCAGCAGCCTCCAGACTCCAACACACCAGAACTCGTCCGGATACTTTATTACGAAATCATGATACATCCTTAGTTGAACCCACGAGATCCGAATTTGTAACACGTCATCTTTACAACTTCTAAAAAAGCTATTCCAGCTTGATTTGTTGGCTCAATAACTGCACATTTCACTCTCTTATACAAAACCGGACATTTCGCCTAAATGTCATCCCTACAATTTCTAAAACAGTTATACAAACATAAATGTTCACTTACAAGTTTACAGAAAACCGGGCAATTTAATCACTTACCGAAAACCAGACAGTTCAACTACATGTCATATATTCAAGTTCAAAAACATTAATTCTAAGCTTGATTTCTCGATAAGTCCACAATAAAAAAAACATTAATTCTAGCTTAATTTCTCGACAAGTCCACCATAAAAAAAAACATTATTTCTACCTTAATTTTCGACAAGTCCACAATAAAAAACATTAATTCTAGCTTAATTTTTCGATAAGTCCACAATAAAAAACATTAATTCTAGCTTAATTTCTCGTCAAGTCCACATAAAAAACATTAGTTCTACCTTAATTTCTCGATAGGTCCACATAAAAAAAAAAACATTTATTCTAGCTTGATTTCTGGACAAGTCCACAAATAAAAAAAACATTAATTCTAGCTTAATTTCTCGACGAGTCCATAAAAAATAAACATTAGCTCTAGCTTAATTTCTCTACAAGTTCACATAAAAACAAGGTATTTGCATCACCTTGTGTCTGCAGTCTTGCTGCGCGATGTCTCGCTCCTTCTCAGCCGCAGTGAGCTGCTCTTGCTTGTCGTGCACCTGACGCTGCAGCGCCCTTACTTCCTCTGCCAGCCTCGCCGCGCTGATGCCGCTCTCGCTCAACTGACGGGGAGTGGGACAATTACCTTCTGTCTACACATACAGTAGCCTAAAGCTGGGGTTATTCACATCTAGGTTCTGGTAATACTACAAGAGAGTGGGGCAATTACCTTCTGTCTACACATATAGTAGCCTCAAGCTGGGGTTATTCACATCTAGGTTCACATACATTAGCCTAAAGCTGGGTTTATTCACATCTATGTTCACATACATTAAAGCTGGGGTTTTTCACATCTAGGTTCACATACATTAAAGCTGGGGTTTTTCACATCTATGTTCACATACATTAAAGCTGGGATTTTTCACATCTAGGTTCACATACATTAGCGTAAATCTGAGGTTATTCACATCTAGGTTCATATATATATTCACATGCATTAGCCTAAAGCTGGGGTTATTCACATCTACGTTCTTCACATCTATATTCACATATATTAGCCTAAAGCTGGGTTATTCACATCTAGGTACTGGTAATACTGACGGACAGAGAGATAATTAACTTCTGTATACACATACATTAGCCCAAGTCGGGGTTATTCACATCTAGGTTCTAGTAACACTGACCGACAGCGGGACAATTACCTTCTGTCAACACATACATTAGCCTAATTTGAAGTTAATTCTTTCAATGTTACTGAACCCTGCACCCATGATGAACCATACACCACATCAAGCCATGACGCCAAAGACAGAAGCGAACCTAACGAAGCACAGTTCACTTCACAATTCGCCTTAAAATTAAGAGGCTGATATTGTATTAGGGGCCACATATACGAACAAGCTCCATCAGGGTAGGCTGATCAACAAGCCATTAAGTCATAATCCATGACGTTAGGTAAAATTTTACAAATTTGTCAAGGGATAAACTAAGCATCGTCAATGCTATCTCTAGCTAAAGGCTTGGTGACGAGAGTTGTCTACAGAAGTCGTAAGTTTGAAGACAGTGGCGATGTGATTACGCAATTATTAAATGGCCCATAATAATAATAATAATAGATAATAACAGCAAGATTAGAGAGAACTTGAGAAGTTACAAATAATTTAAGATGATTTGCAAACACAGGATGATTACGGACCAACTTTTATTTTCAATAAGTTTTCATTTATATGCATCATAGGATGCTCATATTTCTGATGAATACTCAATTGCCGAAGCTGCCAATTATTATTCCAGTCATTAAACTATAAAAATAAAATTAAACTGATGAAAGTACACTTGGCGAACTTAAGTAAATCATGCAAATTAAAGCTAACTTTGTAGAGAGAAGTAAATCAGAAAAATTAAAGTAAACGTGGCAAAATAAATTAAGCAAGGCTAAGTAGAGTAAATTGAGTTGAGAAAAGTAAACGAACCTGTCTTTGGAGAGCCTCAACGGAGTCTTTCTGAGCATCAGAGCTCTGAGTGAGGTTCGTGAGAGCAGCCTGCACGGTCACCAGCTCAGCCGACCTCGTCTTCAGCTCTGAACTCATCTTGGTGCATTCAGAGCTGCTTTGCTGAAATTAGGAAAATTACATGAAGCATCCATGCAACGCGCGCGTCAAGGAACTGCTGTACTGAAATTAGGAAAATTACATAAATCAATAAGCAGGGCATAACGCATGTTTCCCACCCAATGTAGGGAAAGAGATGGGTGGTGGACACCTGTCTACTGACTGGTTTTTGTAGATGAAGCCCGGTAGGACTGCGATCGATACGTCGGTGGGTGAGATGGAGCACCCTGATCTAGAAGCGTTAGCTAGCTCTGATGCTCGGTTTCCCGATGCCAGAGCTGTTAAGAAGAGACACTTAGTCAGAAGGTCCTCTGTTGTTATGCGCGGAAGGCGGAAGTGTCTAGATTCGAACTGTTTGAAGCTAGCATCGAGGGACCAGTCGATGTTTGGTTTGGGAGCGGGGGGATCGGAGAGGAACTGCGATTTCGAGAGCTCTTGGAATTCTTCAGCGGTGGTGTTTACTCCGAAGGCCAGGAACAGAGGTTTTCTGAGCGCCGCCTTGACGTTACGTATCGTCATAGCCTTCAGGTGCTTCCCCTCGTGGAGGAAGGTGAGAAATCGTAGAACTGTATCGTGGGCGATGTCGGTTGTTTCTGCAGGGAGCCACTCTTGGAAGCGCTTCCACTGAGATTAGTATTGGCGCGTGGTCGAAGAACGAACGCCCTGACTAGTCGTTTGTCGGAGCAGGTGGAGAACTTTTCTGAGTACAGTAAGGTTAGAAACTCCACGCGATCCATTTCCCGCACTCTTCTGATGAGACCAAGCCGACGGCTGTCTTCTGGTGGAGGCGAGTTTGGAGAAGAATCTGTTTCTGCGCTCTCTTGAGGAGGACTGGGTACCATCCGGCTGATGGTCTGTGTGGCGATAGAATGACCCCGTGATGTGTGTAGTCCTGCAGTTTGGGTAGCAACTGCGGTATGAAGTTTGGTGGGGGAAGATGTATACCCCCTGCCACTGATTCCAGTCGACTGCTAGGACATCCGTTGCCACTGCCCCCAGGTACTCGAAGGAGGACACGTACAGGGGTAGTTTGTTGTAGTGTGGACTGGCCATGAGGTCGACCTGTAGTGGTCCGTGCCAGTCCGTGATGTGGAATCTTAGTTTTGGTGGTTTTGTGTCCTGCCTCCACTTCCAGTGCACGCCTCTGCGGACGATATTCAAGGCCTTCTTGGGGGCTTGTAACCATTGGTCTGAGAAGTGCTTGAGACGTGCGTGCCCCCGGTAAGGGGTCAATTGTTGGGCGGCTTGCCGGGGTGTGTAGAGGCGGATGGAGCGGGCTTGGCCGCGTTAGTGTCGCCGGAGGATTTAGGCTGTTGTCCCCTGAAGGGAGGACGGTTGCCTATGCCACCTCTGCTATTGAGAGAGCATGCAGGCTGCGCCTACAACGCGGCGCCGCTCAAGTTCAACGGAAGAAAAGCTGGCGATGGCGGAAAACATTTCCGCCGAGCTTTCTTCCTTTTTCTTTACTGATACGATTAAATTCGAGAAAGAAACAATCGAAAGATCAAATAGAGCTTTCAACATGTTAAAAGCAAACAGCCTAAAACGGAGTTTGCTCTAATTATTGGGTTATTAGCTTGCAGGTGGAGATTCAGGGTGGGTAACTTGAGTCGGTTAGGTCAGAAAAATGCGTTTTTGGCTGCTTAGGAGCCAGCATGCTTGTGCATAGGCTGTGTAAATACTACGCTATGGCTTTATTTTAGCGCTACTGGTCTGGCTTGAGATGTTGCAGCGACGACTGCGGCTCTTATCTCCGTGTAAAAGTATCTTTATTGCATACTGAGGCTTAACATTGTCTCCAACGCTAATTTATGAGCAAAATAAGGTCGGCGGCTGTGATCTCACTGGTAAAACATGCAGCACCTGGAGCGGAACAGTCGACTCGGTACTTTCATTTGATCTAACAACAAGCTGATGCAAGTCACAGAATTATTCAATAACTACCCGTTAGTTATTGAATAATTCAGTAGTTCAAGTACAACAACTACCCCACGATATCTCATTGTATGGTAGCACTAATATTAATAAGAAGCCTATAATTTCTTGGCACCAACTCACCTGAAGTTTCTTCTTGAGCGCATCCACTTCCTCCTTGAGAGCCTTCATCTCCTGCTTCTGTTCTGCCACGGCTTCGCTCTTGGCCTTCAGGTCGCTGTTGAGACTCGCCTCGCGCTGCTGCTGACTCTCCACCTGCAGCAGTACAAGCATATGCTGACTCTCTCACTGACATCAGACGTTTGGACGCCAACTGCAGCAGTACAAGCACATGCTGACTCTCTCACTGACATCAGACGTTTGGACGCCAACTGCAGCAGTACAAGCATATGCTGACTCTCTCACTGACATCAGACGTTTGGACGCCACGTTATGACCGTCATTATCATGGGATCATATAAACTTGAATACCAGCTTACGTTGACCGCCAATATGATGGGATCATATAAACTTGATGACCAGCTTACGTAATTAAGTATACAAAACACGAAATCAATTAATGAATATTTAACTCCGGCTTTCAGCGATACAAATTCAAGTAAAGACTCAAATCAAATTTTTTGTATTACTAAAATATATTAACTATTGGATAAGAGTAAATACCTACTCTGCCATTGTAGGTTTCTAGCTCAAGTGCAGTTTTAGCAGTTATGGCTTATGTTACATCCTAGCCCAACACATGTTAATACTCTCAATTATTCCGTAGCTAAATTACAAATAGGAAAAATTTGACTCACTTTAAATAATATTATTTAATTTTAATTTAATATTAAAACAATGCCAGAGATAAGCTGATTACTGAGGGATTAACTTAATATAACAGAATCGCAGACAAGAAGTCAAACACACGTCAATCAAGAAAAAATGCTTAGAAACAAAAATAAGGAATAATAGTATAAATATGTTGAAAAGAACCAAAAACCCGTGCTGAGGAAGAATATAAATAAAATTAAGCTTGAACAATATGAATAACAAGAACAAGCATGCATTGACAGCTACTTAAGTTCACTTCCAAGCCCTCTTACGAGACAGTCAAAGCCAAAATACGTACCTACAAAAATTTAAACTATAGTAGGTACGTAGAGTTTTCTCAAAATCAAATTAAAACAAACTGTACGAATATATAATGTTTGCATTACAGCAGTAGTTTAGGGTGTTAGCTTTGAGGAGTATTTTTAACGCTTTTCAACAGACAAGAATGAATAATTTTTTTTAAATCAGGCACTTCACTGCGGTGAATTTTCCTTTAAAATATCCAGTTGAAGGAACAATGATAACGTGAGATTATATTTACACAAAAACTGCTTCGAATGATGATCCATACGTAACGTTTCATTATCTCAACCACTTAACATTTTTCAACAGAACCCAAAATTAAGGATTCCTTTACAATGCTGATGTCGATTTTGAATAAGACGATACAGATAAGGAAGATCCTCTAGACGCCACAGACAGCGACGAGTCTCACTGAGGCACTGCTTGCTTCACAATTCGCCTCAAAATCAAGAGGCTGATATTAAATTAGACGCCACAGACAGGAACGAACTTAACGAGGCACAGTTCACTTCACAATTCACCTCAAAATTAAGAGGTTGATATTGAACAGGCGCCACAGACAGGAACGAACCTAACGGGGCACCTAACGAACCTAACGAGGCAACAATTCACCTCAAAATTGAGGCTGATATTAAATCAGATGCCACTGACAGAGACGAGTATCAACGAGGCACAGTTCACTTAACTTCACAATTCGCCTCAAAATTAAGAGGCTGATATTGAATCAGACGCCACAGACAGAACGAGCCTCACCAGGGTAGGCTGTTCAAGACTCTCGAGCCTCCTCCTAAGCACGCCGAGTTCGACACTGGCAACGCGTAGAGCTGCCTGGTCCGAAAACCTCTGCGGCGTTACATGTCGCCAAATAATAAGATTTGCTCTCATTTTACTTCCATGGATTATCCAATATATCGAATAGTAGTATCTTCTTTGCCTCAAATAAAAATCGCTCAGGATAGTTATCAAATTAAATATTCCGTGCCTAGATATTCCTTAGTATAAAAAGGCTTTACATCGTCTTCAATGCTCAGAAAGTTAGTACCTCTTAAGAAACTTTGAGTGAATTGTTAGAGCGATCCAAATTATTCATAGATAATATGACATAATTTACTTAATGCAACATCAATGTTTCATCTACTAGCCCTAAAAAGATGATAAAATCCTCAGAAAGACTGCTAACAATTTTCCATTGAATGCGACGATCTCCACTAAAAATTTTTGAATCGCTAAAATTTTTCCGTTTGGATGCAAAAATTCTTGACAGGAAACTGAAAAGTTTGAGGCCAAACGATTTCTGTTCATAACATTTGGACGTGTAGCATCCAGTCAAGATTCAGAGAGAAGAGGTTAGCGGTAGCCTCCATTGGAAGCTTATTTTTTAATCATAAACAAGTTCAGCTGAAGTAAAAGAACATAATGTGTCAAGGGCTTTTGATAGCTACTAGTTTCGCCTTCAATAGTCAATACAATGTGCTTGCAATATTTCCAGCAGCAGTCAGAAGTCAGATTTGTTTGCGTCATCCATACCTAAAAATGGATACATGAACGACCAAAATCAAGATTGGTTCACTAAGACTTATGCTTTGCAGTCCACAACTTACGTTGATTTCGTTAAGCTCATTTTTTAATTATTCAGCTTGCAATGACCCTAAGTTTTTGACATAGTGTTTTATAAAACAATGCTCAATGCTGAAAATTTGTCTCCCAAACTTCTTTACCGGAAACCTTACAAATTCTATTAAGAGGAAATTCTCTGTAGCATATCATACATAAAGCCCGCCCAAAGAACCTCACGGTTTATGTAAAAAATACTTCACAACAAAAGGCTCAATGTATTAGAAAACCGAATAAAAGTAGGATTAGATAAATTTAATAATGGAAGAGAATTAAAATATAAGGAGGAGCAAAAATAATGAACCATTTAAAAGTTGTTGCTGGTGAATGAACCAGAATAAAGAGTGATGCTAAAGTGACAGAGAAAAGAAATTAGGATAAGTGGATAAAAAATGGGATTTAATGACAAGACAAGGTGAAAAGAGCAGAGTGAAGACATTTGCGAAGCCACTCTAAGGTTGAGAAGCAGGATTCTACCCTTAAGCAAGACTGACACTCACACAAAATTAAACCGAAAAATTGCACAACATTTGACAACGACAAGCCGCATTTGGCTTTGGTGTAGGAAGTGAGAATTATTAATAGTCCAAAGTCATCTACTTCTAATAATTTCTAATAATTTACAGAGTCATCTACTTCTAATAATTTCAATACCGGTACTTCTCACTAAAGCGGCTGTTTTACCTGCTTCATGTTCTCAGAGAGCAGCTTCTGAAGCCTGGCGACTTCAGCTGTGAGCTTCTCAGTTTCAGCGGAAGAGTCAGACTCCCGCTCCTGCTGTCGTTCCTTCAGCAGCAGCTCCAGGGAAACCTGAAGGCAACAAAGTAATTTAATTCATGAAGATCAATAGGAATAAATATAGAAACTACCGACACAATACCTAGTTTATTAGCAACGTAAAAATGTATGATAACAATGGAATCATAATGAATGTCAGTAAGAAAAATATTGACGACATATACGAAAATTTATTAGCCTTGAAATGTTCCATGAATGAATTTTGGATATCAATATGGACGTAAATGGAAAAGAATACAGAAGTCCTACGCAAAAATGTATTCGCTCCCTAAATATTAATGAATAATGTCTAACCCAATGAAAAGCTGAGATAAATAGAGTACCTAGGTCAGGTAAAATCAGAATTCGAGAACTATTTGCCTACATTCACCGGGAAATCTTATCATTGTAGGTGAAAAATTGCTGCAAACTGGTTAACTTTATAACTATGATAATAGATTAGTACTTAAGCTATTTGAATGAGGAAGATCATACAGTAGAAGACGGAGATACAAAATGCAGGCATGAACTAAAAAATTTTTTTTTCAGATTGATGAAAAGGAAAAACTTTCCAAAACTTATTTGATCAGAACAAGATACTTGAACTGATCATAGACCCAACATCCAGCTTAAAATAATCATTCTTCTTAACCCTCTCTGTCGAATTTGAGGTTTACATTAACATATTCAACAGATTGCGTTAAAATCAAGTCATATTATATTCAACTGCAAAGCAATTATTCCAACACAATTTACCTTTTCTTCTTTCAGGACATCAAGCTGTGACCGCAATTCAGCGCGCTCGACAGCGTACTCAGATGCGCGGCCTTCAACAGCTTGTCTGTCACTTTCAGTCAACTCAACTTTGTTGACAGCTTCAGTGAGTCGTCGCCTGACTGAATGCAGCTCCTCAAGCGCTACTGAGAGCTGACTGCGTAGACTGACGACCTCACTGCTGAGTTGTGCTCGAGATGACAGGACGGCAGCGTGCTGTGACTGGGGGGCAAACGATAGTGAATATAAACATAGTGAATGATGAACGTGAATACGTAGCACTGAATAACTGCTTAGTGAATAATGGAAGTGAATAATGCAACACTAAATAACTACACCATGAATAATGGAAGTGAATAATACAGTAATGAACAACTACATTGTGGAACATGTAAGCAAATAGTGTAAAATTGACTAAATGCATACTAGTGAATGATATAAAAATAAAATGTCTTTTAATACTTGTTGTTCAGCATTTGTAAATTGTAAACGGAGGAAATAATGATGGAAACACTGTACACTAAATTTTTGACGAGAGCAGGAGTACAGGTACATGCATTTTTTTCAAATATTCTCGGCAGGGTGTACATTATGAACAATACCTACAAAAATACCTACCTATAAGAGATACCTCGAATTCATAACGGTTGGCACTTTTCCAGTTTAAATAAATATTATAATCTAGTCAATAATAGTAATATAAACTATAAATACTTGAGAAAATTTGGTTCATTTCAGCTAATTTCTTTATTCCACGCAACAATATTTGGCTGAATTGAACACACAAAGGCCGTGATACGAAGTAAATGTAACTTTAAATGATCAAATTAACCAATAATAATATCTTTAATCCTCATCTCACCCTCTAAGTCGGAGCCCTTAAGCATCTAAATAAGTACTCGGCACAATAGCGCGAAACAATAATTAATACTCATCTCACCCTTTAAGTCTGAGCCCATAAGCGTCTAAATAAGTACCTACTCGGCACAATAGCGTGAAATAAGACGCATTACCTGAGGAACCATTTCTTCCTCCTGGTCTTGGCCTCCTTCAGTCTTGACTCTCAAGGCTTGCTGTAAAGACTCGAGTTCTTTCTGGAGGTCTTCAGAGTGCCAGCGTTCCTCTCTAAGCTGCGTGTTGGCTTCTTTGAGTTCTTGTTTCAACACCTCGACCGTTATTTCTTCATCCTCTGTGCAGGATAAAAAAAAATTTCAAATTTGGTATTTTTTGCAAAGAAAATTTCCTTACATCAGGGAAATTATTTCTAAATCAGCGTGGTTGCTCACATTAGCAGACTTGACATATTTCATGGTTCTAAATTAAAATTCGTGAATAACATAAGAGAATCATCAAAAATATAAATATTACCTTCAAAAAGTAAGCAAACGATTGAACAAAAATAAATAGAAACATAGATAACAAATTCATGAAGCATATACTTTTCATTGCGGCTATGAATAGCTGATTTTTAGATAACTTATTATAAAATTAAAATGCATAGCCTTAAAGCAGCTATACAGTATTGAATATTAGGGCCAATTCCATGAGCTTGCACAAATGAATACCACGTACTAATAGGTACTTTTATTTATATATCAATACTGCTACAAATAGTACTTCTTACATCAAGAGATCAAAATAAAGATTTCTTTAAACTAAAAAACGGATTAAAATTTGCTGACAACTGCTCAGGATTTATTCCGTGATCTTTTCATGTCTTCCATTCTCAATATGGATCTCATTAATTACTGTAGGTATTTGTTCAAGTACAAGTAAATTATATAAATTTCAATAAGTAAAATCATTATTGTTGCTATAGTTGTCCTTGTGTCACAGTACATAGTAAATCAGGACACCCTGGTACTTCTGGTCAAATTATAGAACCTATTAATTGTTCAGTAAATTGCAGATGATGCTGTCAGTGGGCAATGTTCAGGCATTGCAACATAAAAAGAGAACTGTTGAATTGAAATTAGAGTGCTGACCAGCACCGGAGTACATGATCTTGTTGTCATTGCTTATTGCTAACATGTGATTTGCAGTTAGGGCAGAGAGTAAGTATCTATGGAATCAAATTCTTATGACTAATTAAGTGAAAGAAAAAGTTGTATATTTGTCTGCTGAGTTTGTTCATTGTTGTTTATTTCAACCTGGTCTGCTGTGGTCTTGTGAGTAGTGGTCTTCAAGTTGTTGCTGAGAGCTGAGACGAAGCTTGCACACTGGGCACACATAATTTGAAGCAGGATCCAGGTGCTCCCTCTCATAGTGACTCTGGAAAAATAAGTTAGAAATCAGTGATTTGTACAAATAGAGAAATTTTTTTTAAATAAGCATTTAAATTACAATATACGGAAATCAATTGTATATACCATAGTATTTTTGCAGTGGTAATCACAAAAAAATTGTATTCAGATTCAAAGGGAGCTCATTGAGTTTTAATATTTGAATACTGGTGTGTGTTTGAAGGGTGTGAATATGGAATTTAATATTCCAGATAAATTGTTGTCAGACCTGCAAACACATTTAAACTTTCCATCAGAACATCAAAAAAATATATACCATATATAAATGAATACAATAAAGAAAATAAAAATGAAATGGTCAATACAGTAGGTAATGCTTTTTTGTAACAAACTCTCAACGAGCAACTACTGCAAAGAATTAATAAAATGAATAAAATGTAAGCTTAGATCTTCATGGCTATTCATACTTTTTAGCAAATTTTATTATTTATGGAAAATATGGTGCTATTGTGCTCGTCATGTCCGTCTGTCTGTCCGTGATATCACGTTTTTGTCAATGAGAAAATGCACTCTCTGTCACTCACTGCAGTGAGTACTGAGTTATATTTTTTTCATATGAACCTCAAACTATGTAAAAACTGTAAACAAGAAGCATTTTGGCTTCTATGATATGTTTGACAAGGATGACCAAACATACCTATAAAGTGAAGTATTATATTTTCAAGCTTGATTGCAAAATGAATATCTTAAAAAAAATCTAGTTGAAATTTTTGCATCACTGTTATACAAGACTTACTGAAAAAAAATGTCACCAACTCGTCCTCGAATAAATTTGCGTAATTTGAAGAATAAGTTTCATTAATGACTCTCATATTAATGTATCTCCAAATGAACAAATTAAGGGAAGGACCACTGCAACCAACCTGCAAAACTTCAGCAGAAGAAAAATTTGTAAAGCAAGCCGGACAAACAAATCCTTCCATGGAGCCAAAATCTTCAGACTGAGACTGAGATGATCTGCTGGACACTTGGCCGTCCACAACTCCATCAAGAGTGACATCCCGCACCTTGTCACTGACCTGAGGAGGCATGGATACTTCAAAACATTGTTTACCGAGTCACTCACTAAGTAGACAACTGCAAAATTAACTAGATGCTACTCTCTGATTAGCAGCATCCAAAATAGTACAAGTGTTACCTTCCAGAAGTAAAAATTATTCAACTATAATAACAATCTTTCTGAGTGGCACCAAAATATGAATGTAGCTCATCAATCATCATAGTTAATCAATGAATTAAAGCAGAAATTATGTAATCAAATGTCATGTGAAAATTTGTCAAGGTACTGAACTTAAAAACATAGGTGTATGTAAGTAAACCAGGAGCTTAATTTAATGCCTATCAAATACTTTGTGGGCGCAAGTCAAGACCTATTTATTACCTTATTCATGAAGGTCTTGAAAGAGTTCATGATGCTTGACTAACACTTCCTGCTACCTAATACAGTAAATACACTGCAGTCTGTGGTCTGTGGAGATTTAAGAATTTGAATAAATGACACATTTATAATTTCAGTGGCAGGAAATATAGGATTATATTTATAAATAACAAACTAAAAAAATAAACTTAAAGGTTAATTTGCTACAAGAGGATGCAAGCTTAATACTGAAAAAATTTATATTAAAAATTAATATATATAGGTATTGTCAATATTTGAACATCAAAGTTCTAACTTAATGAGTTACAAGGTAAAGTGAAAGAAAGGACTGAACTCAGCCTTTCAGGAGCTAAAATCATGGAGCTGACTGGTTGAGGCTCAAACGATGATCATGTTACTAAGTAAGTCATTTTATACATCATTGATATCATTCTGGAACCAACATAAGTAACTAAGGAATTTCCCAGTTTGAATCTTTACTGATTTATTTATATCAATTTCAAAACTCCACATATTTCTAGAGGGAGTTGCGATTTGTGCATATTTTTGACTGTGATATTATCAACATTCTTTTCCAACCATGGCATGAACCATAAAGCTTGAAAGAGAAACCAAGGATGGAAGTCAGGAAGGCCTGGGCCCAGAAAGATGACTCACAACCAATGAAAGTAAGTCATTGTCATTTTTTCAATCATTGATGACATTTTGCATCAAGGGAAGTCATTAAGCAATTTTACAGTTCAATTTTCATTTTTTTTATCGAAATCAATTTTGAAACTCCACTGGGGTCTGGGAGAGACCAAGCTGGGTTTAGACCGAGCTGGGTTTACCGTTTAGACCGCCGCAAGTCACCAATTGCCGCTGCCATACGCTGACGGCAGAGGAGCCTAAGCAGGAGCAGCAAATCCAGTTTTTTTGCCTGTTTTGAGGCTGTGAGCTTCTTGCTTGATGTTGATGAATTATCTTCTAACAAATTGTGGAGCAATTGCCAATTAGCATGGTTGAAGGGCAATATTCCAAAGTTATTAAAAATATGTCACTTTGAGAGTCTTTGACACTTTGGAGCCACACAATATTTTGTATCAAATACAAATAAGAATATTGTAATCTTAAGCCTGAGGTACCTAACTGACTCAGCATCTCAGCCTAGTAACTGGGCTGGCTGGCCTGCTGGCATTGGAATTTGGCTATGGTTGGTTTGGCTAAATCAGTAGGTAAATGGGATAATGGGTCACTGCCTCTGGCCTCACTGGGTCAGCATCAGGCTATCAGCCATTCAGCGGTTCAGCCTGACTGCCTGAGGGCTGAGAGGCTGTGACTCCCTGTGCCAGCTGTCAGCAGGGCCAAGCTGTGGTTGTGACCGAGTGGAGTGAGTGACCTATCTCCTGTGGGAATGCATAGGTTACTACGTTACGTTACTTAGCTATAACCTATAACTTAGGAGATTTCTGCAACGTTGATGTCGCGGACGCAGAAGTAGACAGAACACAAGAGCCGGCGTCCCCGTCTGAATCAGACACAGAGTGATTGACGACTGCTTTGACGCACTGTCCCCTTTAGCAGATAGCAGTTTATCACATTAGTCTTGACCAGGGTTGGCAATGATTAAATCAAAATGATTAAATCATGTGATTAAATCACTTGATTTTTTTATAAAAAAATCATGATTTTTTTTATTTTTTCGATTTTTTTTATTTTTTTGATTTTTTCATATATTTAAATATATTGAGTGGCAGTCTTTAATTTATATTGAGGTATTGTTATTCATGGTTTAGTATAAATGTACTATAAATGACAAATTGGTATATAAACTTGTTGCCTTTGGTGTGTATTAGGTTCCAATAAATTGAATGTTTTTGGTACAGAGGCATCAAGTGTGCAATACATTGTATGTACGTAGCTAGCAGCTTAGCTAATTCTTATAAGGCTATAAGTAGTCTTTAACTATTTGACTATTTGTTTTATATTGATTACAATATACAATTTAAATGTGTTAGCTAGCTTATACAGGGTGGGGCAGAACTGATTGAAGTTTTGAGGTGAAATAAAAGAGTAATGGAGGTACATAAAGAAGAAAGTTTATTTTCCTCAAGATTAGCATAACATACCATTTAAAATACTATATAAAATAATTGAATGCAGTGAATGTATATGAAATATTTGAATTGTGCACATGTTTATTTCAAACAGTATTAGATTTTCTCATAACTTGAGTCTTGTTTCAAGTCGTATGAGGTTTGTTTGGTTATCGTTCAGTTTGCATTTAGTATTGGTTTATTGGTCTGAATTAAATGGGAACAGTGCAGTCAGTCACTCAATCACTACTAGTAGGTGTGTATAGAGGGTAGAGTCTGGTAGATTTATAGGACATAAAACTAGTGGATCTATTAATAGTGCTGTGCACTGTGCTATCAGCTACCTATCTGTTATGTGACTCTTCAATGTTTAGAAGATCTGCATTCCTGAAGTGTTTTTGTATATTGAAGCCAGTTAAATGGTCAATATTTAGCTCATTACCTTGCTCCATACAAACTTTACAAAGCTAACGAATAAACTTACCAATAATTGTTTACCCAAAAATCCCTACGTGGTAAACACCACCTTGGCCTGTTGGCCATTATTGAAGGCAATAAGTGCCCTTTTTAGCCATCCATTATGATCCATATACTGTTATTGTCAGTAGGCTAATTGCAACATAAAAAATAACACATCAAAAAGACAAAAAAGTTGAAAAAATAAAAAAAATAAAAAAAATCAAATAAATAAAAAAAATAATGAAAAAATAAAAAAAAATCATTGATTTTTGATTTTTTTTTTTTTTAAAAAAATCAAAAAAAAATCGCCAACCCTGGTCTTGACCGCTTTAAGTTTAGCTTTACGCCGCATCTGGCGACGCATCGGCATCCCTGCGATAAAGCGCTTCGAACTTTTGCTCCTCACACCTATCTATATTAGCAAAGTTGAATATTCAAGTAAATAGACGATGTATATTTGTAAACTGCACACAGGCACATAGCAAATAACGTAGGTACGTCTGCACTCCGTAGTCGACACAAAATACACAGGCTGTTTCTTCTTTTCTCTCTTATTTATTCTTATAGGAGCACTGGAAACTAGTCCATAAAGCCCCTTGCCTAAACTGGGTTTAATTTGTACCTAACTACTTCAACAGCTCTGAAAACAAAAACCTGAAACAGAGAGAAAACACACACACGGAAAAAAGAAAAAACAAATAATAATAAAATAACAATAATAATATTAATAAATAACT